ACAGGGAACAAACAAACTGACAAGCTGGTAAATACAGCAAACCGACAACTCAACTGAAGAAAACTGACAAACATAACTGACAAAATAATTTACTAATAAATAATATAATATAATTACCTGTAATAAATGGTCAACAAAAATTAGCACAGTGAGCTCCACTACTGGTCCATCAGCTCTCCGCATACTGTAATAAAACTCCACGTCAGTCTTTGAGCACACCTACTATGACTATTCAGAAAAGAACTGGATTTGGTGACTTACCACAGTAGAGCGCTGAACAGACTGCGAGGAATTTACGGTTTAGCTTTCTATTTATAGGCAACCAGTAGGGGGCGCCAAAAACCATTCATCACATGGTAATTACAAAACATATTTTAGCAAGAATTTCATCTTAATACCCGTTACACCAGTTGCACTGATCTGTTTTGGCTTCATCTTCAGGTAACATCAGTGCAACATTGTTGTTTAGCAATATGAACTCTTCGTGCAGCTTGTGAAAACTTTGATGTGTTTCCGATTTTACTTTATCCACATGCTCTTCATTATTTTTCATGCTGTTTATTTCCTTCATTTTAGTCGTTATCTGAGCCATTTTTGCCCTTCTTTGTCCAATAAGCATGCAGAGTTTCTCCTCGAGTGCCTTTTGTGTGTATTTTGGCTCCCTCTTGTGGTCATCCGCCAGCATTGCGTCTGATGCGGCAACAAACGATCGTTTCTCCTCCATTTATTAATCAAGGTCCAATATATCTTCAGACACACTGTCATATGTTCACAAAAGTCTTTGTAGTCCATAAACGTAAAATATTTTCAGCTCTAATGTCTCTTTGACTTGCAAACGACTTAAGCAGTGTAACTGGTAGCTCCCTCAGTTAGCAGATCTAACGGTAATCAAGTTTTGACAATGGCTCTTAACCTCTCGTCTTCTCAACGTTTCCTCCGCTTCGTTTCTTTCTCCTCTTGGAGACAGCGAGTTTTTGACTAATGTTATGGCAACAGATCCAATATCTGTGTCATTCCTTAGACACGGAGAGTAAAGGACGTGAAACTGAATTTTAACGAAAAATATTTATCTATAAAAATTATATAAATACAAAAATTAGAGCTACCGTTTACAATTTCCTTTTCCTTCTTTTCTAACAATACACAGTTTACACGGTCAAAAACTGTATTGCACCGTGTCTAAATAATCCGTTAAGTGCCAAACTGTTAATAGAATTGTTCCTTGACAACGTATTCCCAACAGGAAGTAAGGCTTTCAAAATAAAACTAAACTTCACAATAAAAATTGTATGAACAAATAATCTTATCTAAGTGTAATAAAATAAAAAAGAAACCATCAAACAAATTACTTACATATTTTCTATTTATGGCTCTAACAAATAGTTATTTACTGTTAAATAGCTACAGTAAATAACTATCGAACAGTAAATAGTTACTGTTAATGTCACTTAGTTACTTTCCAAATAAAGTAGTCAGTAATCTAAATTCCTATTTCAAGGAGTAATCAGTAATCTGATAAAAGTTACTTTTTCAAAGTAACTCTGCAGTCACTGCCTGTGTGTAGATAGTCCGGCTGTAATGAGTATAATCTAAGGCACTAACACACAAAGACAAGAACATAAACATCATAGAGCAGCACAATAATGTAGTTTCAGATTATTATGCACTTTAATTTATGTATTTATCTTGATATTAAGAAACATATTTAGTTTTTCAAAACAATTAAATTTTTTGCTGTTTGCCTGTAGAACATGTTTTCCTTGAGGTTACTGACAGATCCAGAAGAAAATATTGCTTTATTCATTTAATTATCCAATAATATACACTGTGTTTGGCCTCGGCTTGCAGCAAATTTATTTTTTTGGCCCTCAGTGTATTTGACTTTGACATCCCGGCCCTACAGTTTTAAACTACAACCCCTCATTTATTGTTTCACATTAAATAGTTTAGCTGTGCGGTTTGGAACCGCCTCCATTAAATGCCATATAACCTCTAAAGCACATGAGTCACACAATAACCTATTAATCTGGAAAAAAAATACTGAATTTGTGTTTTTACTACCTGCACAGACAGAAGCAGAAACATAAAGCGACTTCAGGTTCAGTTCTAAAGCTGAGTTATTAAAAGTTCTGTGGCTAGTAGACATTTTGGAGTGTGTGTGTGTGTGTGTGGTGTGTGTGTGTGTGTGTGTGTGTGTGTGTGTGTGTGTGTGTGTGTGCGTGCGTGCGTGCGTGCGTGCGTGTGTGTGTGTGCGTGCGTGTGTGTGTGTGTGTGTGGTGTGTGTGTGTGTGTGTGTGTGTGTGTGTGTGTGTGTGAGTGAGAGTGTTTCTATGCGCAATGTTTTTCAAACAAATATTCTAAAAATATTTGTTTTTGCTTGAAATCTATTTGAGTATGAGGATGTAAAACAATATGTACGACCTCTTTTCTGAGCCCTGTCAGGTCTCAATTTTTCAGTTCCCTGGTCAAAGTTAAAAAGTGGAAACTTTTCTGTCCATTTGATCAATTCCTGTTTTAAATGTGCAGAGAAGAAAAAGGGAAAAATACAACAAATACTTTGTTGTTTTAATGAAAAATGAACAAAAAGACAAAATCACAAGGAACACAGAGTCAGAGCTCCCTGTGTTCCTTGTGATTTGTGCTAAGTGTTTTAACACTTAACTTTGTGTTCCTGCTCAATATTACATTTCAAACTTTTGCCCAAATAAAAACAAAAACATTGATTTTTACCTGATACATGTCGAGTCAAGTTTATATTGCATATGTAAGCAACAAGCAGATCAACTTGCCTTACATGATAAAAAAGATTTTAAAAAATACAGTAACCAAATATGAAACAGCAATAAATATGACATAAAGTTAAACGCTTTTCTTTGCTGAGAGGTGAGGTCAGGAAGGAGAGGACAGTCAGTCAGTCAAAAAAAAAAATCTGCAGCCACACGAATTAAAAGACACTGAAATCCTATTGAAATATAAATCTGACGCATTACAGTAACTGTGTGTAGAAATAGTTTCCACTGAGGAAAGTGAAGCTCAGGAACTAAAGGTTTTAGACATAGAGACACTGACCATCGAGCCAAAAGTAAGAAGTTGGAGTCTTATTAAAGTATCTTGACTTCTCTTTGCTATAAAAACCACATTTTGTGAATTTGTGCCTGAAACTTCAGACTTCTGACTTCAGACCTACTACATCTGTCACGTTATTGAAATAAAAAACGTTACATTGAAAACAGTCCTTAACCTTTGAACCTTGCTACACAATGGCTAAAGAGGATGACAGGCCTCTTTAATGCACCAGTCAGAGCTCAGTGTAGTGAATGCTGAGTCGACCCACAGCATCTTTTTGTTTTGCTAAATAAACCTTAGCCTGGGTTAGCAAAGTAACCACTTCAGATAGTTTTTGACTCAAATGTCTTAAGAGTGTATGATACAAGAGAAGGTGAGGGACGGGAAGTCTGCAGCTGGGTTTGTCCCTGCAGTGAATTTACACCAGGACCTTCCTGCTGTCTCGTTTCCTCAGGACACAGAAGAAGCAGACGACGACAACAGAGTGACCGAGATCTGAGCTTCACGAACAACTGTTCACTGTTCACACAATCCCTCTTCACTGCGTTCTGATGTCTCTTTACATCACACAGCTGTTCTCACTTACAGAAGTTTTTATTTCCTACACACACATATAGTCCTAATATTGGTCCATATATTTAAAATCTGAGGGCAAATGAAATGCTTGAGAGCCAATTAGAAGTATTTCTTCAGTACGTTCCAGCTGTTGGACTCAGTGTGAGTGGTGTTTATGTGAGATATTAAATGAGATATTAAATGTTTCAGGAAGATTTTTATAGCTAAATCTTAGCAGCAATAAATGAGCAGAATATTACCTGATACATGTAGAACAAACATCCGCCTCTAACAGTTCAGTCTCCAACAATATCATCCCTCATTGAGTAATGTAAGGTCTTAGCTCTTCTACTCTATTTGTATTCTGTGCTTTAATAAACTCTCAATTTGGCATAAAAACATAGACTTCTCCTTGAATGTTGTAGATTATTTTTACCAGACTGATCTCTTAGGGCATGAGTGTGAATTCATTTCCATTTTGGGCCATATCATAGTGTCCTTGACAATTACGCCATGGGGAAGAGAACAGTTTCACCTTAATGGGAGCAACAGAATCAATGGTGTCTGGGAAATCTTTGAGGCAAAAGAAATAATATTAAAACATTTCTATGAACAATGTGACATTTATTCTGTGGAACTCAAATGCAAAACAATCTGTGTTGGAAGTAATAAGAAGTTGAAGTGACCCTGACTTGGTAATGTTGCCCACAATGGCCTGCAAACATTTTACTGGAGGATAACTATTCTCTTCTTCCGGTGAATAGACCTTTCCTTTCTGTCAGATTCCTCTGATGGATTCAGATCATCTGCAGACAACTGAATAAAAGGTGATGTCTGTGAAGTTACTGAATAACTTTTCAACTTCAGCTTAAGTTACCACACCAGTTTAAGTTACCACATATATATATGTGGATATATATACATGTATATGTGTGGAGAGAGAGAGAGAGAGAGAGATTTATTTCTAGCTATTTGTAATTATTTCTATGAATTTTTTGTACATTTTATTAATTTTATCTTTTATTATTACATTTCTATTATAAATATAATAATAGAAATGTATAGTAGCTTGCCAACTAAAACACATTTATCTCTTGACGACCAGTAGAATATTCTGTTTTTGACGCTGAGTGGTTACCATAGTAACTAGTAACTGGGATCATTCCCTTTTTCTGTTGAAACTGGTATGTATCGGGATAAGGTCTGTGTGTTTTACAAGTGTTATATTTTAGTATATATTTTAGACTAACTTAACTAAATACAGGCTTTCATGAATAATTTTGCCATGTTTTGAATGCGGTTTTAACAGTTATCATCATTAATGTCGTTGTTTTTTTTTATTTTTTTGCTGTGTTTAATTTTCCAACTGTTAACTGTTGTCAACTGTTCATTGGGATCCATTGCTGTGTCGTGGGGACTGTTTATGGTTATTTATTGGATTTTATTTAATCTGTAGGGGCAGAAGCTGCTGGACTGATCTTAACTACTAACTTCACTTTTTCTCTTGTTGGGTATGTTTTAATTTTTATTCAAATTAATGTTTTATATGCTGATTGTGTGATCGTCTCTGATTCTGAAATATAAGAGCGATTTTATTTCCTGTTCTAAAAACATGTAAATTCATTGCTATTTATGTTAAAGATAAGATTATGTGGATTAGTGATGTGAATTTACCAGACATCACCATACGCTCACAGTCAGAGCCCCTTTTTCTGTTGCCTTCTGCGACTTTGGGGTAGAAGTCACAGAGCCGATGTTAGAAACCAACTTGATTTTGTTTGTCCTTGTTAGAAAAAAATATGGTGAACCTATTGGACCTTTGATGAACAAATAAGAGTTGCCTGCCCATACCTAGAAAAACCTTACAGAAAAATGACTTCCTATTTTGAAACAAAACAAGCAGGAAATGAAGTTCTTTTAACCAGAGTAATTGTGGGGTTTGTTTTCCTGCTGGTCAACAGAAGACCATAGAGTCCCAGTGAGAATAATGATCACTCTACTAATTTTGTTAACTTACTGTGTAATGACAGAATTTGGATATTTGGGTTTGACCCTTTTTTCATGCATTTTGTTTGGCAGATTCAAATTTGACATAACTTAATTAGTCATCCACTTTTATTTAAACTGAAGTCAAAATTTTTCTTTCATCTTGTCCCTGTGAGCTGATGGAGGGATATAAGAGAGTGATGGCAGCCCTGACAGAGAAGGTGCTGACAGTCAGTGTGTTACTGAGTGTCTTGTTTCTTCCAGGTGAGCTGTTTGTCCTCTTACTTTCATTAGACATTACTGGCAGTATTTGTCATCTCAAGAAATAGATTCTGGTTTTCTTAAAGGCGCTGCATGTAACAGGCTGCAGTTTATGGGTCAGGAAGTTTTCCCAAACAATATTTTGCCTCACATTCTATTAATGTTTACTCTGCTTTTACAGTAGTTCAGACTGGATGTTCCAAGAACTTATCCCTCAGTATAACTGCACCAAAAAGACTGGAAGGTCTGAGCGGATCCTGTTTGCTCATCCCATGCAGTTTTCTGGAGATACCAAGAGAAACGTCTGATAAGGAGAGAGAAAAATTTGAAGTTTTGCTTCAAAGTCACCCAGACTTTGAAGAGGATTCAAAGAATGTGACTCACAACAGCAGTCATCCAAAAGAAATGGACACGACTCGAAACCTGGAAAAGTTTGACGACAAGAGAGAAACGACTGGAGTTTGGATAACAGACAAACACAGGGTTGAGTCCTTTCATCAAAATGCGATTTATAACAGCAGTCGGTCACAAAACAGATACACCGTGAACATTATTGGGAACCTGAAAGAGAAGAACTGCACCACCCTCTTTTCTAGCATACAACCTATTCAAGCGACGAAATTCTACTTCAGGATGGAGAATGGGCCGTTCAGGGCCACGGCAGTCTGTGATCCTGTTCAAATAACAATTAGAGGTGAGAAAGTTTTCGTTTTGATTTATGTGTAATGTTCATGTTGAACAGAGGGAAAAAAATTATGATGCATTAACTGAGACTTTATTATAAAGTTAAACATCAACAGGATCAGAGTTAAAGAAAGCGGTTTGTGAGCACAAAGTGGATGTTTAATCTAAATGTATTTTTCAGTGAATTCTTACCTTCACTTCTCTATTTTTTATGCTCCACATGTCTGAAGTGGAGTCGGTCTGCTGTATCTCACTGTGTAAAATGTGTGTGATGTGAAAGCATAGATTCTGCCTGGAGCCCCAGGATTGAAATCTCAGGTGACTTGAGGGAGAAGAAGTCTGTCACCGTAACCTGCTCCGCTCTCACTCCCTGTCCACAATCACCTCCTGAACTCACCTTGAACCTCCAACCAAACCCTCACAGACAAATGGAGAGGACACACATGGACATTTACAAGTATAATCCAGCAGAACATCATTCTGTCAGAGATCCATGATGGATACATCATCACCTGCTTTGCCAGATATCCTGTAGCTGGAGGAAAACACAAGACAGCAAATACAGATGTGACTCTCAGTGTTTCCTGTAAATAATCCTGTCAGGACATCATGGTTCAGCTGGTTCCCATCAATAATCTTGAGGTGTGTTACATTTTCCTCAGATTCTCCCAAGAACACCTCAGCATCCATCACTTTAAGAAAAGGTAGATGGGTGGAACTGCGTTGCTCCAGCAGAGCCAATCCTCCTGTCAGCATCTTCACTGGTTCAAGAACACCGCAAATGGAGCCATGGAAGTAGGTGAAGGAGAAAATTATGGAGTCAATGTCACTGAGGGGACAACTTATCACTGTGTGGCCAGGAATGATGTTGGTAGTCAGACATCTCCAGAGATTCGTCTGACTCTTCCAGCAATAGGTAAATAGAGGAATATGGAAGGATGTTACTGTGACTGAGTCACCAGGATCATTTGAAAGTTACAGATGGAAACATATTTAAGGAATATGTTTCTTAACATATTCCCTTTGTTTTTCTCCATTCAGCGTATGAGCCAGCTGATGAAGTTGTTGAAAGAAAAGGTACTCATCTGCTTCACTGGAAAATGTTCTGTTCACTCATTTCTCTTAATTGTTGCAAACTAGCTTAAATTCTTTGTCCTTTTTCAGTTAAAAAAAACAAAAACATTTTATTTCTAAAATGAATTTCTTTAGGAATAAGGTGTTCCTAAAGAAAATGTTTTGGTGAAGTTTTGGTCAGACTGCATTTGCTCCATAGTTTTCTAGACTTATTAAATTTTCAAGTTTTATATTCTACTTCACAGTAAAGGTTAGCTGTCATTAGTGTTCCAGCCATGCTGAACTTCTCTTTAAAAGTCTGTGGTTATCAAATGGTATCACATTGCATGAAGTTTTCTCAAAAGACTGAACCAGAAATATATGAACTCTAAAAATACTGTACATATCTTCAGTTTTATTCACTATTTATTTTTCCAGGAGCTGACTCTCAACATATTCAGATGACAATATTTTCAGGGGTGGGGGTCCTTGTCCTTGTCTGTCTGCTCAAAATCATCTTGTGGTGAGTGTGAGAATTTGAGTAAGTGTACAAAGAAGTGACGTTGAGTCTGTTCCCAACACTTGCCTGTTTCTACATTACGTTGAATACTTTCTTATTTCTAATTGTATTAAATTAATTACTTTCCTGCACACAAATCCATCAGTATGAGAGAAAAGAAGTTGTATCTAACACTGAATTATAACATAATTGGGAACACAATATTAACACTGCTTATTTCGTTTCCACAATGGTAAATGGATTTGACTTCTCACTTTTAAGAAGATAAAATAAAGGCTCTGACGAAGTGCCAGGAGGCTTGGTATATTTTCAGTAGTGTATTTTTAGTAGACCCTGCAATGCCTGATGGACCTTCATATGTCCTCACATGTGTTTAGATTGCTTTAAAATAAAATAAAAATATTTGTGCATAAATTGTGTTTTAGAGACGGTGACCAATTAGTACAATTTGATCAGCCATTATCAGGGCCCTTAAGCCTATCTAAGCAGAGATTATGAATACTTATATAAATGTGATTTCTCTGTTGTTGTTTTTTTATATATATAAATTTACAAAACACCCCAAAATTTCTTTGGGAATAAGGCTGTAACAAATAAAAAAATAAGTCGCTATGAATATTTTCCGAATGTGCTGTTGTACTTGAACTTTTTATGTGTAAAAATATATCTTTGTAGTTTGAGCTCCAAAAAAGTATAAATCCTACAGACTCACTTACTACTAATTTTAGAACTTGTTCCTGTCTTGGATCATGAAACACAAGAATGATTCTGTCTGTTCTATTATTTCTTCCAGGGTTTATAAGTTCAGGCATAAAACTCCAAAACAGGTCAATGTAAGTGCAGTAGTAGACTGTTCTCATTATAGAGAATGAACAAATGATGTATAATTATGCTTCTGAAAAGAATCAAAATCACCTGTTGGTATCCATGGCAGTTTTTCTATATATATTTCTGTTTTTCCTTCTGATTTCCCACAGGCTTCACTTGATGACTAACTGGGTCTTAAATTGTGAGCCAGTACCACTGAGGGAAATGTTTACCATGAGGATCTAAACCTCTTGATTAAACAACTTCCTCCACGCGTAACTGCAGACAGCGACAGGAGACGATGTAAACACAAATCTCCAGATCTCTAAGAAATAGCAGCTCAGCAGAGTCTGACTGCCCAGAGGGAATAAACATTGACCTCTTTCTGTGGAATGTCTGTTTCTCATTGGAAAACCTGTTTTATTGGGATTTTACAGCAACTTGTTAAAATAATTTGAAGCTCTATTCACAACCAAAAACATTGGCCTAATTTTGTAGTAAATTTCGAAACAGATCCAATTCATCTGTTTGAAATTTATGCCCGAAATTATTTAGGATTCATGGAAATAACTATGCAATTTTTGAACAAAAGTCTTCATTCAATCTTGAAAAGAAATCTATAGTCATATTCAAGGAATTTGAATATTTAAAAAGTGCATTCGTGAAGTGAATCACATTTAGATTGATTATTTGCACAGACTGTTTAAGACGTTACTTCTTTTCATTATCACAGTTTTGTTGACAGATTATTAAAACCAGTCTACAGCTTTCCCAGATCCTCTTGAGTTGGGCTCAAGTTGAGTCCTTCTAAAAAAAATAAAGATTTTTTTTTTTGCAAAAATCCCAAAAGGTTGCACAACTTGTTCTGACAATTAGCTTGTGCCAAAGAAAATAAAACAAAACAGGGCCTAACTGTCATCTAGTGAAAAATAAAGGAAAAGAAACCTCTGGTAATATGATCTAACAAAAAAGCTCAGCAAAGCATTACAAGGGGTCACTGACCTACTTACATAGTTTTTTTAACAGATAGAAACCTATGTGATGGGACTGTACAGGGTACCCCAAACCCCTAAGAGTAAAGCAGCAATACATGAGTCAATTAACCAACCAGGACAAGGGCTGTAGGGCTTCCTTGATTCCTGATTGGTTACTCTCTAACCCATGAGCCAATCAGGGCAAATTAGCACCACTTTCACTCTGACTATCAGACCTGCTGTGAAACAACGAACTGTAGCAGTGTCACGATGAACAGAGCGGGTGACTTATTCTGTATCACTTTGGACAACCATGTTGTTCTCAAATGCTTCATAAGCAAACATAGAACTGTCCAGGGAAAAAATATAACAGAATGATAATAAACATCAGCAGAATCATACATTAAGATGCAGGAGAAGAGACGCCCTGGTGCGCTCGAGACACAACGCAAAAACCTGGCAGGTTTAATCAGAAGACACGAATTGTGACAGATAAAACCACATCATGTCACAAATATTAAAACGCAATGAGAATAATCAAGCCTACGTGTGTGTTTATTGCGCCCTCTGGTGCGCATGCGGGACACTTTCAGGTCTTTGCAGTTCACACCGGAGATGACGTACGAGTCGCATATATTTGGAAATGCGAATGAGCGCGCCAAGAAAACCCGATCTGTCAAAAAAAAAATTGGAATTGCGTCACTTCCGTGTGAACGTAACCTATACCAAGCTACAGTGGGTGGTTACCAGAGCAACCAATAACCGTCATCTCGAGCCCTTGTCTTAACATCTGTAACTGCGGTATGTTCGAGGATTGCTTCGATGTTTTCTTTACAAGTGTTATATTTTAGACAAATTTAGTTTCATATTGTGTTTCATGTGTAATTTTGCCAAGTTTTGTATGTACGTTAACCGTTATAATGTCATTTTTTTTTTTTTTACTGTGTTTAATGTTAATTGGCATTAGCTGTTCAGTGAAGCATTGTTCGGTAGTCGGGATAGTTTATGGTTATTTATTGAATTTTTATTTATTCTTTAGGTTCAGACGCTGCTGGACTGATCCACCAACTTCACCTTTTTTCCTGTTAGGTATGTTATAAATCTTGATACGAAATAATCATTTGTGTGTCATTCAAAGACTGTCATTTGTCTGACAGTCTTTGAATGTGAGATACACTCATCGGCCACTTTAGTAGCTCCACTTGTCCAACTGCTGAATGTCAAATCAGCCAATCATATGGAAGCAACTCGATACATTTAGGCATGCAGACATGGCCAAGACGATCTGCTGTAGTTCACACCGAGCATCAAAATGGGGAATGAAGGTGACCTTGAACGTGGTGTAGTTGTTGGTGCCACAGAGGCCGCTCTGAGTATTTCAGAAACTGCTGATCTACTGAGGTTTTCATGCGCAACCATGTCTGGGGCTCACAGAGAGTGGTCCGAAAAAGAGAAAATATCCAGTGAGCAAAAGTTCTGTGGGCGCAAATCTCTTGTTGAGAGGTCAGAGGCGAATGGCCAGACTGATTCGAGCTCAAATAACCACTCCGTACATCCGAGGTATGCAGACGAGAAACTCTGAATGTGCAAAACATCGATCGAACCCTGAGGCGAATGAATGGGTTACAGCAGCAGATGACCACACTGGTTGTCGGTGTGCTCTTAGCTGACTATATAATTCGCACAGGCAAAATTGGACAATTGAAGATTGGAAAATGTTGCCTGGTCAGATGAGTCTCAATTTATGCTGTGGCATTCAGATGGTATTCTATTTAATTATCCAGGTTTATTTAAACTGAAACTTTTCTTTCATCTTGTCTCTGTGAGCTGATGGAGGGACATACGAGAGTGATGGCACCCCTATCTGAGAACTTGCTGCCAGTCTGCATGTTACTGAGTGTCTTTTTTCTTCCAGGTGAACTGTTACTTCTCTCACTTTCATTTGGAGACATTACTGGAAGCACTTATTTTTCTAGTCCCAATAAATAGATCCTGTTCTGTTTAAATGGTTCACATGTGAAAGGCTGCAGTTTACAGGTGAGGAAACTTGACTTCATTACCATTTTGATTCACATTGTGTCCATCTTTACTCTACTTTTACAGGAGTTCAGACTAAATGTCATTCGACTCACAGGGGAATCAACATTACTGCGCCAAAGCATCTTAGCGCTCTGAGTGGATCCTGTTTGCTAATTCCATGTAGCTTTACTGACGACAAGATAATGAAGTTTGACGGCCGAAGACAAACATTTGGAATCTGGACAAAAACTACAATGTATATTGTCACTCATTCAAATAAGATAGTTTACAACAGCAGTTGGTCAGAAAGCCCATATGGAATCAATATTATTGGAAATCTGAGTGAGAAAAACTGCACAACTATGTTTTCTCATATGTCTAATGCTGATCGAGGTAAATACTACTTCAGAGTTGAAAGCGGGCCATTCAGATCATTTGCTTCCTGTGATCCTGTTCAAGTAGTAGTTAAAGGTGAGAGCATTTTATTTTTATGTATGTGATATTAAGAGAGAATGAATTACGGTTAAGAAAAACTCCATAAACTGAGTATTGACGGTAAAGCTAAACATCTGCTATGTTTAGCTTTACCGTGAAAGCTAAACATAGCATACTCTGGTTTCTGATCATCAACAGAATCAGAAACCAGAGTTAAAGAAAGCAGCTTGTCAACATAAAAGTGGATGCTTGATGTAATTTTATTTTTCAATGTGATCTTTTCGTTATAATATGTCATCTTGTTATACTTCACCTGTCTGAAGTGGAGTCAGTCTGCTGTATCTCACTGTGTAAAATGTGTGTGATGTGAAAGCACAGATTCTGCCTGGAGCCCCAGGATTGAAATCTCAGGTGACTTGAGGGAGAAGAAGTCTGTCACCGTAACCTGCTCCGCTCTCACTCCCTGTCCACAATCACCTCCTGAACTCACCTTGAACCTCCAACCAAACCCTCACAGACAAATGGAGAGGAACACAGATGGAACATTTACAAGTATAATCCAGCAGAACATTCTGTCAGAGATCCATGATGGATACAAGATCACCTGCTTTGCCAGATATCCTGTAGCTGGAGGAAAACACAAGACAGCAAATACAGATGTGACTCTCAGTGTTTCCTGTAAGTCAATGGTGCCCAAAGTTGATCCTGGATGGCCGACATACTGCATGTTTTAGTTCCCTTTCTGGTTTAATCCACCTGGATTAAATGACGGCTCATTAGAAGGCCTAAGTGGAACATTGACATCCGGAAACGGTTGTTTCTACCACCAGGGAGAGAACAAAAACATGCAGGATGCCGACTTTGGGCACAGCTGCTGTAAATGATCCTGATGGAACATCATGGTTCAGCTGGTTCCCATCAATAATCTTGAGGTGTGTTACATTTTCCTCAGATTCTCCCAAGAACACCTCAGCATCCATCACTTTAAGAAAAGGTAGATGGGTGGAACTGCGTTGCTCCAGCAGAGCCAATCCTCCTGTCAGCATCTTCACCTGGTTCAAGAACACCGCAAATGGAGCCATAGAAGTAGGTGAAGGAGAAAATTATGGAGTCCATGTCACTGAGGGGACAACTTATCACTGTGTGGCCAGGAATGATGTTGGTAGTCAGACATCTCCAGAGATTCGTCTGACTCTTCCAGCAATAGGTAAATAGAGGAATATGGAAGGATGTTACTGTGACTGAGTCACCAGGATCATTTGAAAGTTACAGATGGAAACATTAAAGGAATCAGATTGATTCCGATTTATTTTTTCTCCATTCAGGGTTTGAGGACTCTGAAGTTCTTGGAACAAAAGGTACTCAAATACTTTTCTGAAGAATTTTCTGTGGAGTCACTTTTTTTGGATTGTGGCAAACTAGCTCATTTTAGTTGTCTGAATCAGCAACAAGTGAATGAAACAAAAATATGATGCCTATCATCATATTTGGAAAATGAAGTTTTGCAGAGCATACAGTACCTCCATACTTTTCAAAGCTGTTACAATTGCAGATTTTAGATTCAGCATTAAAGTGAGGACTCAAGAATTGTTTATTGTCAGATCATTTCTCAATTTTTGCTTGTGATATGAATTTCAAACTCAAGTCTTAGATCAAGAATTCTAAAAAATAAGTAATTTTTATCAGAAGCATTTATTTTTCTAGTCCCAAGAAATAGATCCTGTTCTGTTTAAATGGTCCTCACGTGAAAGGCTGCAGTTTACAGGTGAGGAACCTTCTCTTTATGACCATTTTGATTCAAATTGTGTCCATCTTTACTCTACTTTTACAGGAGTTCAGACTGAATGTCATTCGACTCACAGGGGAATCAACATTTCTGTGCCAAAGCATCTTAATGCTCTGAGTGGATCCTGTTTGCTAATTCCATGTAGCTTTACTGACGACAAGATAATGAAGTTTGACGGCCGAAGTCAAACATTTGGAATCTGGACAAAAACTACAATGTATATTGTCACTCATTCAAATAAGATAGTTTACAACAGCAGTTGGTCAGAAAGCCCATATGGAATCAATATTATTGGAAATCTGAGTGAGAGAAACTGCACAACTTTGTTTTCTCGTATGTCTAACGTCGATCGAGGTAAATACTACTTCAGAGTTGAAAGCGGGCCATTCAGATCATTTGCTTCCTGTGATCCTGTTCAAGTAGTAGTTAAAGGTGAGAGCATTTTATTTTTATGTATGTGATATTAAGAGAGAATGAATTACGGTTAAGAAAAACTCCATAAACTGAGTGCTAAACATCTGCTATGTTTAGCTTTACCGTGAAAGCTAAACATAGCATACTCTGGTTTCTGATCATCAACAGAATCAGAAACCAGAGTTAAAGAAAGCAGCTTGTCAACATAAAAGAGGATGCTTGATGTAATTTTTTTTCAATGTGATCTTTTCGTTATAATATGTCATCTTGTTATACTTCACCTGTCTGAAGTGGAGTCAGTCTGCTGTATCTCACTGTGTAAAATGTGTGTGATGTGAAAGCACAGATTCTGCCTGGAGCCCCAGGATTGAAATCTCAGGTGACTTGAGGGAGAAGAAGTCTGTCACCGTAACCTGCTCCGCTCTCACTCCCTGTCCACAATCACCTCCTGAACTCACCTTGAACCTCCAACCAAACCCTCACAGACAAATGGAGAGGAACACAGATGGAACATTTACAAGTATAATCCAGCAGAACATCATTCTGTCAGAGATCCATGATGGATACAAGATCACCTGCTTTGCCAGATATCCTGTAGCTGGAGGAAAACACAAGACAGCAAATACAGATGTGACTCTCAGTGTTTCCTGTAAGTCAATGGTGCCCAAAGTTGATCCTGGATGGCCGACATACTGCATGTTTTAGTTCCCTTTCTGGTTTAATCCACCTGGATTAAATGACGGCTCATTAGAAGGCCTAAGTGGAACATTGACATCCGGAAACGGTTGTTTCTACCACCAGGGAGAGAACAAAAACATGCAGGATGCCGACTTTGGGCACAGCTGCTGTAAATGATCCTGATGGAACATCATGGTTCAGCTGGTTCCCATCAATAATCTTGAGGTGTGTTACATTTTCCTCAGATTCTCCCAAGAACACCTCAGCATCCATCACTTTAAGAAAAGGTAGATGGGTGGAACTGCGTTGCTCCAGCAGAGCCAATCCTCCTGTCAGCATCTTCACCTGGTTCAAGAACACCGCAAATGGAGCCATGGAAGTAGGTGAAGGAGAAAATTATGGAGTCCATGTCACTGAGGGGACAACTTATCACTGTGTGGCCAGGAATGATGTTGGTAGTCAGACATCTCCAGAGATTCGTCTGACTCTTCCAGCAATAGGTAAATAGAGGAATATGGAAGGATGTTACTGTGACTGAGTCACCAGGATCATTTGAAAGTTACAGATGGAAACATTAAAGGAATCAGATTGATTCCGATTTATTTTTTCTCCATTCAGGGTTTGAGGACTCTGACGTTCTTGGAACAAAAGGTACTCAAATACTTTTCTGAAGAATTTTCTGTGGAGTCACTTTTTTTGGATTGTGGCAAACTAGCTCATTTTATTTGTCTGAATCAGCAACAAGTGAATGAAACAAAAATATGATGCCTATCATCATATTTGGAAAATGAAGTTTTGCAGAGCATACAGTACCTCCATACTTTTCAAAGCTGTTACAATTGCAGATTTTAGATTCAGCATTAAAGTGAGGACTCAAGAATTATTGTCAGATCATTTCTCAATTTTTGCTTGTGATATAAATTTCAAACTCAAGTCTTAGATCAAGAATTCTAAAAAATAAGTAATTTTTATCAGAAGCATTTATTTTTAAAGGAATCAGATTGATTCCGATTTATTTTTTCTCCATTCAGGGTTTGAGGACTCTGAAGTTCTTGGAAAAAAAGGTACTCAAATACTTCTCTGAAGAATTTTCTTTGCACTCACTTTTTCTTTTTCATTGATGCAAAGTAGCTAATTTTATTTGTTTGAGTCATCAAAAAAATTAATGAAACAAAAATATGATGCCTAGCAGTTTAGGAGGAAAAGGAAGTTTTGCAGAACGTACAGTACTTCCATACTTTTGAAAGCCATTACAATTGTAGATTTTAATGTATATTCTGCTGTTATATCTTGCATGTATTCAGTTTTTTCATTTCTTATTTTCCCAGGAATTGATAGTTCTGAAGTCCAAATCCCAGTTCTGACAACGTTAGGGATTGTGATGATTGCCTGTGTTCTGAAAATCATCCTATGGTGAGTTTGTGTACTTAGAAGTGTACTTAAGTCTATTAAAGTTACTTCACTGTTCCTTCATTTGGTTCAATATTTTCTTAGTCCTAAATGTACTAAATTATTTCTTTTCTAAACAAATTCGACAGAGATCCCCTATTATGATGATGTGGGGCAAAAAATGTATTGTGCAAATTCTGGAAAAATTTAACAAACAGAAAACTCAAAGTATTCACATAAGTAAATGCAAAGAAAAATAAATCAAGAATAGGTCCACAGTTAAATATAACAATGTTGGTACTTGTGTAAAAGTAAAACCTTAAATACTTTTCAAGTGAAAACCTTTATTGAAACTGTAACTGATAAATAAAGAAAATATATATATCTTTTTACCTCATCTATTTTTTTTTTCTAAATCAACTGTGCAACTTTCTACTAAAACTTTGACATGACATTTACTCTGTATCATCAAAATATACCATTGTTCATAATGGTAATTCAAATAAACTTCTTAATTGAAAGAAGAGAAAATGAAAGCTCTGCTGAAGTGCTAGGAGGGTCGGTCCTGTCTGGTCAGACTTCCTCCAGGCTATAAATATATAAATGGCATAGGTTATTGCTCACTTTTCTGAGTATAATATATTTTTTCCATCCACAGCTACTACATTAATAGCTCCAAAAACATCTGCATCCTACAGACTCACTCACTACTAATTTCAGAACTGGTTCTTCTCCCATATCACCAAACACAACAATAATTCTGACTGCTCTGTAATTTCTTCCAGGTTTCACAGGAAGACACCCGAAACTGCATAACAGCTTGGTGTAGGTGTAGCACTACACTGTTCTCATGATAGAAAATCTCCCCAAACAAATGATGTATCAATACACCGTGTTCCAAATTATTATGCAAATTGGATCTAAGTGTCATAAAGATTGCATTTTTGTTGTGCTATCAAATTTATAGATGATATTTGAATCACTATAATTAATTTCAGAGAGCTGGGTTGATTAATTTGTCTGGTGAGCTCAATAAAAGGAAATCTACTTAAAAAGGATGTTCCACATTATTAAACAGGCCACATGTTTCACATAATATGGGAAAGAGAAAGGATCCCTCTGCTGACAAAAATCATCAGATAGTGTAGTGCCGTATGACAAGGTATGAAACGAAAACTGAAGAGATTTGTGGCTGATTCAGAACAAAGATGGGTTTGTACAGAAAAAAACATAATGAGGAAGGTTTCTGTTGGACAAATTCATCGGATTAAGAGTTCAGCTGTTAAAAAGCTGAAAAAAGTTATTTGAAGCTGCTGGTGCCTCCGGAACCTCAAGGTGGAGGATCCTCCAGAGGTTTGGAGGTTAGGCCACCCCTAACCAGTGCTCAAATGGTCGCAATGGGTCCAGCCATAGATGAAGATTAATTTTCAAACAGACTTGTTCACAGATGACTGCTGTGCAACCCTGGATGGTCCAGATGGACGCAGTAGTGGATTGGTGCTGGATGGCCACCACGTCCCAACATGGCTGTGATGTCAGCAAGGAGATGGTGGAGTCATATTTTGGGCCGAAATTATGGGGAGAGAGAGGGCTGGTCAGCCCCTTCAGAGTCCCCAAAAGTGTAAAAATGACCTCAGCAAAGTATATGGACTTTCTGATTATCACTTTTTTTCATGGTTTAAAAAGAAGAGCCGTACCTTACGTAGCGAACTCATGTTCATGCATAAAAATTCACCATCTCATGCTGCAAGGAATATCACTGGCTGTGTCATTGGCTGCTATGAGCATAAAGGGAAGAAACTCATGGCGTGGTCACCATTCTCCTCTGACCTCAACCCTATTGAGAACCTTTGGAGTTTCCTCAAGCAGAAGATCTGAGGGTGGGATGCAGTTCATATCCCACCCTCAGATCTTTTCTGAGCAGCTTTGGGAAGGTATTCTGACATCCTGCAAAGAAATTCATGCAGAAACTTTCAACAAACTCACAGTTTCAATTGATGCAAGAATTGTGCAGGTGATATCAAAGAAAGATCCTATGTTAACATATAACTCGGTCTGTTAAGATGTTTTTATTTGAAACAACTCTTGATTTCTGTACATGTGACCACTTAATGCTGCACATTCAAAGAATGGCCGTTGGCAGTTCTTTGTAATCCATAAAATGTTTAGAAAATCTGTTGTGTGTAGTAATTTGGAACAGTACATTTTGAGTTTTTTATTTTTGAAAAAAATGCAGTTCTCACAGGGAGCTTTGTTCAGGAAAATTTGATTTATGCGGTAATAGTAATAGTTCATGACTTGAAAGTTATGAACTTTGACCATCATTTGCATTGACTGTTAAGGAAAATCTGAGAAAATATCACTTGCATAATAATTTGGAACATGGTGTATGCTCTTTAAATTAGTGAAATTCAGCTGATGGTAACCATGACAGTTTTATCTGATTTTGTTTTTATATTTTCTGTTTTCCCTTCTAATTTCCCATAGATTTATTGACTAACTGGGCCTTGAATTGTGAGCCAGTACCACTGAGGGAGCTGTTTAACATGAGGATCTTAACCTCTTGCTTAAACAGCTTCTTCCATGCAGACAGCAACAGGAGACGGCATACACACAGATCTCCAAGGTGAAAAGCAGCTCAGCAGAGTCTGACTGCCCAGAGGTCATCAACACACAAGGGAATAAACACAGACCTCTTTTGGTCTAATGAACCTAATGTCTGGTTTCTTACTGCTAACTGTTAAATGATTGGAAGCTTCTTTTCATCACAACAAAACCATTGGCCTTTGTAATAATGACAGTCACTTAGGTATGGAGGATTTTTTTTCTGCCATAATCCAAGAGCACAAATTTTCAGTCTGAAAGGAGGATTTCATGTCTTTTGTTCTCAAAACTTTTCATACTTCTGCTTACATTTTAATTTCAAAAGCAAGTCTTCCTGTCTTTCTTTTCAATACGTGTCCTTGTGCTTACTGCTCGGAGCAAATCTTTGCTTGCAAAGCTCTCCGCTCTCTTGGTGGAATTTTTATGTCATAATCCAGGAGCATACATTTTCAATCTGAAAACAGGATTTTCCGTTAAAATGTTTGGAAGCGTAAGTGGAGAGGCAGCAAAGAGCTGAGCTTCACCTTGGATTCCACGAACTCTCCCGAATTGCCCTGGCTGCCATTTGATGGGAACATGTTCCTCTTGTCTGTATGTCGCCATCAAAATGGTTAAAAAAACATTTAATATATGAACTGATTTTCTAATTTGGCCCTAATGGTGTGAGCCAGAGGGTGTTCCACCCTCTGCTATCAACTTCTGTGTTGTCTTCCAGCATATCTTCAACATGAGCCTATTCCTTGAGAGGGTCTCTGTGATGTAGAAAAAATCCTGCATTGTTCCGGTGCCAAAAATGCAGCATCCTTGTGTTTCCAAGGATTACAGGTCTGTAGCGCTGACCTCCCACATCATGAAGTCTGTGGAGAGACTCGTCCAGCACAGCTCCTACCCCTGGTACAATCACACTTTGGACCCTTGCAGTTTACCTATCATCCAAACTTGGAGTTGAGGGCGCCATCATCTTCCTGCTCAACCGTGTATATACTCACCTCGACCAACCGGTGATGATGGTGAGAATTATGTTTTGTGACTTCTCTTGTTCATCCGTCCTGTTCTACTGGGTGAGAAGACGACGGCAATTCAGGTGGATCGCCTACCTGTAGTTAGATAGTCCTGGATTGTGGACTATCTAATTGGCAAATTACACTTTGTGCGCCTGTGACACTGTGTGTCAGACACACAGAGACTGCACAACAGACTGTCTTCTCTCCCTTCCTCTTCAGCATCTATACATTAGACTTCAGCTATTGCACTGAGACCTGTCATCTACAGAAGTTCTCAGATGACTCAGCTGCGGTTGGTTGTATCAGTAAGGGTGATGAGACTGAGGACAGGGCAGCTGCATGGCTTTGTCACATGGTGTGGGCTGAACCACCTGCAGCTCAATGTCATCAAACTCTGCAATGCCCAACTCTTATCAACTAAAATCTAATTTTCTCTGATGAACTGATTATTTATAGATTTAACATATTTGCATGTACATGCTTGCTAGTTTATTTTTATTCTGTCATATTGAATTACTTGCGTCACTCTGACGGTGGAGGAACCCACCTTCCTTTTATCTATTATGGATATATTTGTTTTATTAATATTTCATGGAGTATTTGGATGGAGTAGCTTGTCAACTAATAAGCAATTTCCCCTTGGGGACCAATAAAGTACATTCTATTCTTCTATATTCTATATAAGTTATGTTACCCTTGATACTTAATGGTTACCGTAGTAACTAGTAACTGGGATCATTCCCTTTTTCTGTTGCCATCTGAAACTGGTATGTATGGGAATCAGTTCTGTGTTTTTTTTTTAGTATATAGTTCAGACTAACTTAACTAAATACAGGTTTTCATGTGTAATTTTGCCATGTTTTGCCATTTTGAATATGTTTTTAACTGTTATCAGAACTAATGTTATTTTTTACTGTGTTTAATTTTCCAACTGTTAACTGTTGTCAACTGTTCATTGGGAGCCATTGCTGTGTCGTGGGGACTGTTTATGGTTATTTAATGGATTCTATTTAATCTGTAGGGGCAGAAGCTGCTGGACTGATCTTAACCACTTGCTTAACTTTTTCTCTCATTAGGTATGTTTTAAGTTTTGATAGAAAGTAATGTTTTATTTACCAATAGGATGATAGTCTTTGAATGTGCAATATATGCTATTTATGTCAAAGATAACGTTGGTTATATGGATTAATGACGTAAATAAGTCAAATAGTAATATATGATCAGATATTATACAGTCTTATTATTCTACTAATTTTGTTAACTAATTGTGTAATGCCAGAATTTTAATATTTTTGTTTTACTCTTTTTTTATGCATTTTGTATTAAATGTGACATTTCTCTGACATAACTTGATATTTCAATTAATGATTTCTTTAAACTTACGATTTTCTTTCATCTTGTCTCTGTGAGCTGATGGAGGAATATAACAGAGTGATGGCATCCTTGACTGAGAACGTGCTGACATTCAGTGTGTTATTGAGTGTCTTGTTTCTTCCAGGTGAGCCAGGAATCGGGTCACTGGCGCCTGAAGTGACCCAATTCCGATATTTTGTCAAATCGGATTTTTTTGCGGTGACTCTTCACACTTCCAGATATATGTGACCTGTCTGTGTTCTCCAGTGTGAATGGGAAAATGACCTGAAAGTGTCTCGCATGCGCAGTAGAGGACGCAATAACGTCAGTGTTCTCTGTGTTTTGCCAATTGCCATTTGAAGTTGTCTGATCGGAGCACCATATTAATAGCTTAATCCTCATTATTGTCTTCCCGCTCGGTCGTATCAGAACGCGGAATAGTGTCTTTTGTCGAGTATCAATAATGTTCAGGTTGGATGACATTTGAACCGGATATGTATCGGATACCCAAGTGGCCTGGGTCACATTCAAAAAGAATCCGACCTGTGGTGTTCAGACTGTAATGAAAAGATCAGATACTGGTCGCATTACATCAAAAAAAATGGAATTGGATCACTTCAGGCTGCAGTGTAAACACAGCCTTAGTTCACTCACTGTTATTTGAAGACATTACTGGAAACATATATTTTTCTTGTTCCAAGAGATAGATCTTGATTTTGTTTCAGTGCTTTACAGGTTAGGAAACTTCTCTTCATGATACGTATCCCCTGGGTATCCGATACTCGTCGGATACCCAGGCCACATTGGGTATCATTCACACTGGAGATGGACACAATTGATTCACATTGTGTCCATCTTTACTCTACTTTTACAGGAGTTCAGACTGAATGTCATTCGACTCACAAGGGAATCAACATTACTGCGCCAAAGCATCTTAGCGCTCTGAGTGGATCCTGTTTGCTAATTCCATGTAGCTTTACTGACGACAAGACAATGAAGTTTGATGACAACACAAAACCATCAGGAATTTGGATAAGAGCTGCAGTCTGGGTTGACAGTTATGCACATCTTGTGGTTTTCAACAGCAGTTGGTCAAAAAACAAATATGAAATGAAAATGATTGGAAATCTGAGTGAGAGAAACTGCACAACTGTGTTTTCTAATATACATCCAAGTCATACAGACCGTTACTTCTTCATTATTGAGAATGGGCTGCTCAGATCGTTTGCTGTCTGTGATCCTGTTCTTTTAATAATTAGAGGTGAGAGCCTTTTATTTTCATTTATATTTGATATTTAGATGTCGAGAAAATGAATTATGCATTTTTGATGTAAAACAAATTCCATGAGCTGAGTTTTCACTGCAAAATTACACATCTTCTGGACAACAGGATCAGAGTCGAGAGTTAAAGAAAGCAATTTGTGAACACAAAGTGGATATTTTATCTAACTTTATCTTTCAATGTGCTCTAACTGTCATATTTATCATCCGCCATCTTGTTATGCCCAACAAGTGTCTAAGGAGGAGTCAGTATGCTGTATCTCACTGTGTAAAATGTGTGTGATGTGAAAGCACAGATTCTGCTTGGAGCCCCAGGATTGAAATCTCAGGTGACTTGAGGGAGAAGAAGTCTGTCACCGTAACCTGCTCCGCTCTCACTCCCTGTCCACAATCACCTCCTGAACTCACCTTGAACCTCCAACCAAACCCTCGCAGACAGATGGAGAGGAACACAGATGGAACGTTTACAACTACAATCCAGCAGAGCATCACTCTGTCATACAAATATGATGGATACAATATCATCTGCTCTGCCAGATATCCTGTGATTCCAGAAAAATATAACAGAAAACCTTATAAGGAAACAAAGACAAAATACACTCTCAGTTTTCCCTGTAAGTAATTTTATCAGAACATCATGGTTCAGCTGGTTCTCATCAATAATCTGGAGATTTGCTGCATTTTCCTCAGATGGTCCCAAAGAAACCTCAGCATACATCAGCTCATCAGCAGATAACTTGGTGAAGCTGCATTGCTCCAGCAGAGCCAATCCTCCTGTCAACATCTTCACCTGGTTCAAGAACACCTCAAATGGAACCGTGAAAGTAGCTGAAGGAGAAAATTATGGAGTTCATATCACTAAGAAGGAAATTTATTCCTGTGTAGCCATTAATGATATTGGTAGTCAGACATCTCCAGAGATTCTGCTGACTGTTAAAGATAAAGGTAAATAGAGAAATATGGAAGGATGTTACTGTGGCTGAGTCACCAAATCAAGTCATTTAAATGTTGCAGATGAAAACAGATTCAAACAATCACATTGATTCAGCTTTTATTTTTCTCCATTCAGGGATTCGGCCAACTGGTAAAACCATTGAAAGAAAAGGTATCGATCTATTTCTCTGAAGAATTTTCTGTTCATTTTTAGGAACCTGGGTTGGGTTTTAGTTTCATTATTTTTCCTTGTTAGTTTCTTATTTTGATCCAGTTAGTCTGGATCAAAATAAAATCCATACTAGTGATTCTAGTTTATTTTGTGTGTCTAATTGTTCTTTAGTGTTAGATTTATTTCCTAGTTCCCTAGGTACTCTCCCATGTCTACTGTGCCAGGTCCCCCGTCTCTAAGTCTGGCTTTTACATTCTCCCCTCACACCTGCAATCAGTTAGCTAATCAACCCAGGTCTATTGCTCAGCACTCTACCTCCCACTCTGCTAAAGCACCTCAGTCACTCCTCGCTGGTTTCTCTCATCTACTCCCACTATTTTTCTCATCTGTTTCCTGCCATCCTTTCCTCTGGCATTTAAAATTTGTGCCCTGAACTTCATGGAGTTGTGGGAGAAGGTGGAGTGACACCATCAGTCAGCTCTGGCAGAAATGGCTGGCAAGCACACAGCCAGAGCTCCCAGGCTTTGGCCCTTTTTCCCTCCTCCACATTTCCTGTTGCTCTTTCCCAGTTTTCACCTTTGGTTTCGCCGTCTCCTGTCTGTTTCCCTGTTTCATTGTCATCTCCATCTAAACACCACAGCCACAGTCGCAAGGATGGCTCCAGAGTCTCTCTGGTGGGTCGACCCAATGCTTCACAGCTTCTCCAGTGGGTCGGGCCGCTGTCTGGCCAGAGGTGGCCGGTGCCCAAACCACCTCCATGGGACTCTCATCCATTGCTCCTCTTGTCTGTGTCACTATCTACACTACCGTTCAAAAGTTTGGGGTCACATTGAAATGTCACTAAAAGCACTGTACTTTTCAATGAAAATAACTCTAAACCAGTCATAACTTTAAAGAAATACACTCTATACATTGCTAATGTGGTAAATGACTATTCTAGCTAAAAATGTCTGGTTTTTGGTGCAATATCTACATAGGTGTATAGAGGCCCATTTCCAGCAACTATCACTCCAGTGTTCTAATGGTACAATGTGATTGCTCATTGGCTCAGAAGGCTAATTGATGTTTAGAAAACCCTTGTGCAACCATGTGCACACATCTGAAAACAGTTTAGCTCCTCACAGAAGCTATAGTACTGAATGGGGTGACCCCAAATTTTTGAACGGTAGTGTACATGATCCTCCACTCCACGCATAAAGACTTTAAAACCAGTTCCTCGCCCCAGAGACACACCAGCAGTTGATCCATCAGCTCCAATGTCAGTCATATCCACAGCAACAACATCTGTGGAATTAGCTCCTCAGTTCCAAGCTACTCAGTCTCCTGAGCTCCACAGTGACTGTCTCCAAGAGGGTGGAGGTCGACCCGCCGCGATCCCCAGTGCCTTGTAGTGGATTCCCAGTGATTTGTTGTGGGTCCTCAGGGACCAGGCCTCAGCACTGGGTCAAAGACATCTCCATGACTTAATGAGATGACTTTAAAGTTCTTTAGCCAATGCTGGTCCCCAAGCTTCAAGCTCTTCCTCCTTTTTGGCCTCCTGACTAATAGGATCGTCAAGCTTTTGGGTTCCAGTGCCCAAAAGGCAGAAGTCCAGATCTTCTTTATGCATTCTATCAGTTGAATCTTCTTTGTGGGTTCCTTCACCGCAAGGCTGACCTCAGGACTTCAGGTTCCTCCGTCACTGGCACCCTCCAAGATTTCTGCTCATTTGTCGCTGCACATCAGACTCTCTGATCCTTTGTCTCTCAACTTCTTCGTTGACACACATCAGTATCTGGCAGTCCTTCCAAAGCCCCGTCCAAACACCCTGGTTAGGTTTTTTTTTTTTTTTGTTTTGGACTTTGATTGCCACGTGGTTTCCATCTTGAAGTCAAAAATATTTCTTTGTCTTATTCAGCAAAATAGAAAACCAAATCAATCAAATGAAGTTTTGGTCAGCCTCCAGTTGCTCGAAACTGCTTGAATTTTATATTCAACATCAAAGTAAAGGCACACTGTTGAGGTTTTTAGTTATACAACAAAAAGCTAACTAATTGCTTGCAAGACATGTTTTACCTAGTTATTCAAGTATATGGTTATGAAGTAACATATGTACGATGGTGTGAGAAGTTGTTTTTTCAATGGTTAACATCAGAAATATCTGTCTTGAGGTTTTTTTCCGCTTCTTATTTTCCCAGGAGCTCAGAGTTCTAAAATTCAGATTTCACTTGTTGTAGCAATCGCTGTTCTCATACTTCTCTGCCTGCTCAAAGTCATCGTGTGGTGAGTATGTGAACTTGAGTAAATGTACACCTGGAGTCTAATTTCTTTCCTAAAAATTCTACACACATATCCGTCAGTATGACAATGGGGGGCGAAAAAAGTTTTGAGCAAATTAATAATAAATATTTTTTAATTATTGAATTTATTTTTGTTGAAATAAATAATTCAAGAATACCTTCAACATCATATGGTCTTAATGTAAAATTAAGACAATAATTACATTCCAAGTGAAGCCTCTATCATAATATGCATAAGATATTTTTAACCAAACAAGGAAAATATTTTTTTATTTTTTTATCTAATTTTTTTTCTAAATTAACAGTGCAAAATTTAGTGAAAACGTTGGAATAACCTCAAATTACATGCTTTCACAGTTTGAGAATAATTGTACCAAATGAGTCAGTTGAAGCATTTGCTCCAGAGAGATTTTAGTGAGCAGTGTGTCAACGCGAAGCTAGAATTTTGGTTCAATTTAGCAAAATGTATCCAAAAGTGCGTTCAATTGTTTTTCACCTCAAAAGAGAATGTGTTGTAATTAAAATTCTGATTTCTACTGTATGATTATTTCTGCATGTCACATAGCCTGTTGTCATGATATTTACTCTGTGTATCATCAACATGTACCATTGTCCACACAATGGAATAACAACAACATATAGAAAATTAGCTCAATTGTATCCTCTTGGCTCCATTGAGGAAAAAGACATCAAATGAAAACAGTTGTCAACAAATGTGCAAAATAGCATTTATCAATTTAAAAAATAAGTGATCATCAATCCAGAATGTATGCTGAAGACTAAACTTGATTATGTTTATCAAAATGGCATGAGAGAAAAGAAGTTGTATTATAACACAATTGGGAAGACAATACTAACACTGTGCAGAAGCATTATGCTTTTTTTGTTTCCACAATGGTAAATCGATTCGACTTCTTGCTTAGAAGAAGAGAAAATAAAGGTTCTGATTAAATACCAGGAGGCTTGGTCCTGTCTGTGCTGGATGGTCAGGCCTCCTACTGGCTGTAAGAATATATAAATGATGTAGGCTATTGCACAGTTTTCTGGTTATAAGATACTTTTTTCCCACTGTAACTACTTAACAAATAGCAAAACATATAAAAGCAACCCTGCAATGTTGTATCAGTAAAGTCACAGCAGCCTAAGTTTTCCTTTCCCCAGCCATTGGGCCAACTCTATGCAGGACATTCCTAAACCATTTGTCGGCCAGCCAAAGCTTCCCAAACTGTCAATATCGACTCTGTTCCATTAAATCTATTGTTGTTCCACCCAAAACATTAGGAAACATTGATTTAATACGATCTGAAATAATGCTGAACATACAAAAAAATGAATCACTGTGAATATTTTCCAGAAGCACTGTAGTAATTGAACTTCTTGTGTTTGAGCTCCAAAAAAGTCTGCGTCCTACAGACTCACATACTACTAATTCCAGAACTTGTTTCTGTCTTGTATCATGAAATACACAAATGATTCTCACTGTTCTATTTTTCCTTCTAGGTTTGTTAAGGTCAAAATTCCAACCAGACCACAGGTCAATGTAGGTGTATACTACACTGTCTTGATTACAAAAAAAATCATCATGAACAAATGCTGTATCAATATGCCCCTTGAAAGAGTCAAAATCACCAGTTTGTAACCATGACAGTTTTATCTGTTTTTTTATATTTCTGTTTTTCCTTCTGATTTCCCACAGGCTCCTCTTAATGAATAACTGGGCCTTGAATTGTGAGCCAGTACCACTGAGGGAGATGTTTACCATGAGGATCTAAACCTCTTGATTAAACAACTTCCTCCACGCGTAGCTGCAGACAGCGACAGGAGACGATGTAAACACAAATCTCCAGATCTCTAAGAAATAGCAGCTCAGCAGAGTCTGACTGCCCAGAGGTCATCAACACACAAGGGAATAAACATTGACCTCTTTCTGTAGAATGTCTGTTTCTCATTGGAGAACATGTTAACGTCTCTCCACTGGCTTTCTGTAACTCAGAGAACAGACTTTGAATATCTCTGTCAGTCTACTAATCACTGAGCAATTCAGCACCACAATATGTTAAAGATCTGCTGTTATATTGACCTCTCAGGTCTTCTGGTTCTGGTTCTGGTTCTCATCTGCATCTCCAGAACCAAACACGGAGAAGCAGCATTTCTTGAATTTATTGTCTATGCACCTCAGATCTGGAACAAACTGCCAGAAAGCCCCAAAACAGCTGAAACACTGAGTTCCTTCAACTCAAGACTAAAAATCTGTTTAGTTATTTTTTAACTATAATAAATAAAACATTGACCAACATATGTGATGAGTATTGATGATTTTTGGAATTTGCCAAATTGAAAACAATTTGGCAAAATGCAGTGTCTGTTATGGGTTTTTCCAATTGTTGAATATATAATATTTATGATGTTTGTATATTTTCCTAAAAACATACAAAACTGCCTTGTCGCCAAAATTCTCTATACATTTAAATCAGTTGCTATTTTCAACTGATTTAAATGGAAAAAATTTTATTAGAAACAACTATGATGGGGAGTTTGTTTTTTTTTTTTTTTTTTTTTTTTTTTTGCAGTGCTAAACTATTTTCTGTTGTGCTGCTGAAGATGACTGAATCAAATTAAATAGCAGTTTAAAAAAAGATATTATGCAAAAACACAAGTCCTCTAGAGGGCAGCATTACTCCAACAGTTTCTGAATGCGTTTTGGCATTGTAACCTGATGACGCAACCAGTTTCCTTCACATCATTCCCACTAGGACTCAAGCAAACAAATCAGTTGAAATGTTTGCATTAAACACAGGAAAGATTATTTCAAACGTTTTCAAAAAAGGCAGTCCTAACAAGAGCAACACTTTTCACATCTAGAACCAGTTCAGGTAACTTTCACAAAGATTTTAATGAATATAAGCGAGTAAAATTGTAGAACTGTTGAGCATGTTGATGAGAACAACATACAGAATCATCAAAGGAGAGTGAAGCTTTTTTTTACTCCTGCACACTTGTAGACATGGCAGCTGTCTTGTTACCGTGCAGCACCTCAATCCCAACTGAGATTTGATGAGATTTTTCAACTAAGGAAACGCCCCTGCTGACCCACCACCCGTCTTTGCTGTGACAGGAGCACCACCATGACAAATCAGCAGGGGACCTGTTACAGAATAAAAGCTTCTTTTCATTCTGTATCACTGACCCACATTCAGCCCATCCATGGAGCATAGGCTCCAGTAATTTCCCTGACACAGCTCAGGCCGACAGAGGAAACCCTCGGAACAGGACTTCACATATAACCAGAACCTGGAGGGAATCCATTAAGTAGTTAGAGGTATTCACAGTGCTCAGAGAGACATTCATAGTTAGCACAAGCTATTAATTGAAAACAATTTACAGGGCTACTTCTAAACACATTCTAGTAGGTTTAAGGCCTGAGAGGGTTTTCTTAGGGTTCCTACAAACAGCCATAGCAAAAGAATCTAAATAAAAATAATTTTCATCACATTAGCCAGAGCAGTCATATCCTTTGTACTTTAGAATTAAACAGTTTGATCTCTAATGTTCTCTAAAAAAAAAATACCTCTGTACATCACACATTTACAATCATAAAGTTGAATTAAGGGGAATTAATATATCCTACTGAAACCCCCTTGACAATAGCTTCACCTCTGCAGCCTGTTTACTCAGTTACGTCCCAGTGGGCGATCGCTGTGACAACAGTCTGACGGGAGCAGATTGCTTATGGGCTGCACTTTCTATTTTTCACTGAATATAGCAGTCAGTGACACAAACATGCCTTTCACTGGCATTATTAAAGTAAATCCAAATGATTTGTAAAATGACAATGGACATGCTTTCATAACTTTATCACAAATACAAACATCTGCCAGGTAATTAAGTTCAGTCAAATGACAGCTTGCGGATTGTGTTGAAGAGAAAGTCACATGAGGGCAGGGCTTTTGGGAAAACATAGAAAATGCTGCCGACAGAGGAAATGTGTCATGTGGCAGAAAAGAACAGTTGACGGTGATGTAAGACACTGACAGGAAAGTGAGACAATGGTGTGGTGAGTGGTAGGATTGGATGATGGTTTCAAGGTAGTATTGCATAAGAGAACATCACAAATCGCTTCCACTTTCTAGGTGTGGGACCTTGTGAGTTCGGTTAAGAGTGGCAGAAGAGAAGGATAGATGCTCTGGACAGATGGAAAATGATAATCAGCTATTAGGACCGAGAACATGTCAATGAACAAGTGTAAGGCAGGTGGAACCCTTGAAGCTGTAATAAGTTGAGGTTTATGGTAGCTTCTTTGAAATTGAAAAAGACAGATAATCAAATTGATTGATCATCAAATCTGAGGCCATGGTCTTGAGCCAGAAAAAGGTAGAGTGCCTTCTCTGGAAGGTGACAAGCTCAGGAGGTTTGGGGGGTGTCCTGCCCCAGCTGGAGGAGTTTAAGTATCTTGGGATCTTGTTCACAAATGAGGGAAGAAGGGAGCGGGAGATCAACAGATGGATTAGTGCAGAGACTGCAGTGAAGCGGGTGTGGTACCGGTGCACCGTGGTGAAGAGAGAGCTGAGTCAAAAAGTAAAGATTTTGATTTACTGCTCAATCCACGTTCCTTCCCTTATCTTTGGTCACGACTTTTGGGTCATGATCAAAAAAACGAAGTCACGGATACAAGCGGCCGAAACGGGTTTTCCCTGTAGCGCTTCTGGGCTCTCCCTTAGAAATAGGATGAGAAGCTTGGTCATTCAGGAGGGACTCAGAGTAGAGCCGCTGCTCCTTCACGTCGAGAGGAGCCAGTTGAGGTGGCTTGGGCATCTGGTCAGGATGCCTCCTGAGCGGTGAGGTGTTCCGGGGACGTCCCACAGGGTGGAGGCCCCAAGGAAGACCCAGGACATGCTGGAGGCTCTATGTTTCTTGGCTGCCCTGGGAACTCCTTGGGATTTTCTTGGAGGAGTTGGAACAAGTGGCTGGGGAAAGAGAAATCTGGCCCTCCCTTTTTAGGCTGCTACCGCTGCAACCTGACCCAGGGTGCGTGGAACAAGATGGATGGATGGAAATAGAGAGCTTTCCTCTCTCTTTAAGGGAACAAACTGAGCAAAAGACAGTGGAGGCAGGGTGGAATGAGTGGGCAACAGTGTAAGGGGTAACATGTCAGAGCTACAGGAGAGAATGCAAAGGGTTACACAATGATAGTATGAACAATTATGGATCATGATTTGGGGATGGTGGTGGCACTGACAAAAAGAAAGAAGGCTGAACTAGAGGTGATGAAATCTAAGATGGATTAAAAACAATGCCTGACATTCTCTCACTCAAAACCCATAATACAGACTGCAGCTGTTCTGGTACACATGTAATCTGCAATTCATTCCTCCCAGCCTATGAATTACTCTATATTGAGGTGATGAGTTTAGCTGCGGATGAAACAAACAACATGGGCATGGTGGATTATAAATGACTTTGTCAGCCCTGTGTTTTTTAATGTCACACCCTGCATACATTGTATCCATCCTCTCCATCTTCCCGGGCAAACATCAAGTCATCCTGGTATTTCCGTGTCACTTGGATTGAAAAGAGAACTGACTTAAATGGCCTCCCTACAGTCAACAGGGGCCATCTCCACCCCCACTCCCACTCCCACTCATCGGTCATCCAACTGTACCGCCAGCTGTCTATTTTTGGTCCGTGTGACACACTTCAAGCAATTACTGTCTGAGTGGTGTCTGGACTTCTTCCAGAATATTCTCTTCAAATATGTTTTCGTTGGACGTCAAGCACATAGTATTTATTGGTCCAAATTTACGAGAGCCTTTAATGAAAAATAAATGTGGTCCAAGTCTATTAAACTGGTAATTTAGAACATACACGTCATCCCCTTTTTTAATTAGAGCAAGTTAGCTGGGATAGATAGAGACTCAAAGACAAGGAACATTCCTAAAAGTTGTAATGGGGTGTTAAGACAAGTTTGGATCCAGTTTTCTTCCCTGAAGATAATTAACACTTAACACTTTGTTAATGTAATAAATAAACTGTGGAGATAAAAAAAAAAAGAAGCCAATTAAAAGTTACTTTTAACACTGTCACATTCTTTCCATCCAGAAAAGAATCGTCCACAGTAGCACACACCCAAATATACTGTACATCCAGTTCAGAGCACATTTTGTCAAACTTCAGGGTGTTTTATTGGGAATTTGTGTGATATAACACAAACACAAAATGGGACAATATTTTAAGTCTTGCTTCATCCATTTTGCTATCAACTCTGACCATCTTTCTGATCCCCTCTCAAAACTATCCCAACAGCATGGCGCTGTCACCACAATGTTCCTTTCTGTGGGTGGCAAATTCACATTGATATGCAGTCATAGCTTAGAGTTGAGTAGCAAACTGCAAATGTGACTTTTTTTAAGGGGGGGGGGGTTCATTAAACAAGCTCTTGGCTTTATCTGAGTGCCTTTAGTGGTGTTGTCAGTCTCTTTGTGGTCATTGTCATTTTCATAATAATTTTCTATCAGGCTGTTAAGCAGGGAGTCTTGTACATTTCTGGAGTTCAGAATGCATAGTTGTGTTTCTGTACGGAGTGTTACAGAAACACAACTCCAAACCGAGACTTTAGCGTGATATACTGACCTGAAATGATCATGTTTCATAAGTATTTTGTTTTGCTGACATTGTGTTACTTGGTGAAATGACCTGTTGCTTCCTTTAAGGCACGTGCTCAGTGAACTCAGGGGCTACATTTACAATCCACATGCCTTTAAGGTTGTTGTTTTTTTTTTCGGTTGTATTTACAGCACCTCAATCTTTACATATATACTTCAGGAAAAAGGAAAACAAATATTTTACATGTAGGGACTGTGATTTTAATTTTCTGTTTTATTTCTATGTTTAAAACCTGTAACCTGGAGACTACATGTTAAAACTCCTGGGAATGAGTGGCCATTCTATTCTGAGGTTTTGACAAACCATTTATTCTAAGATGGAACATACCAGAGTTATTAAGGAGCACTGTGGGCTCAATGACTAAACTATCACTACTTTTTAAAATTAGAATGATATGCAGATAGAGCAGTGGCATAGCTAGTAATGTTTGAAGTGACATGCATGTGCAAATTACATATTTGATCTCACCATTATATATATTTTTCATAATTCAGCTTTTTAGTCCTGTGCAATTTTGCAGACAGGACTGTGAAAAAAAAAATTATGTATGTATATGCAGTTTGACAGTTCAATAAAACAAATATTTCAATTGCTGTTATAGAAGCTGCCACGTCAAC